ATTTCTCAGCCCTCCCTGCGTCTACATCTCCCATGACTATCTCTCTATGTGCCTGGACTGCCTAATCAGCTGAGGAATGACTCTGCTAAAGCGCGAGATGTCGTGAGTGGAAAGTAAGGCTCCACACTCACCGGTAACTATCGATGGGTTGGGTTACTGGAATTCTCTATGCTGTTCTCATTCCCACTGTAGGAATCCTTCTGAACAACTGCACCGAGAGCATGTTATATTTGTCACTTTGAACGGGCTTCCACTATGGATGTCCTACGCACTTACAGTTGCCGTAGAGAGGCAAAAAAGGTGGTTCTCAAAAACGACAGTTTCCTCACGCGAGTTCCTGACGCGCCCCATCAAAGTTTACATGAAACGTCAGAGTATTGGAAAAAAGGAAGCTCAGAGGGCACATAAAATGCTTCAGATTCCTAAGGAGTTCCTCGATCAGTAGTGGCAACCCCTTTTCCTCTCTCCTCTCCCATCTCCCCTCCAATCACTTTCTCTACCGTCGTGAGAGGCCATCTGACACTACTAACAAGCTCAAGAAGGGAACACTATTTCCGTTATCCATGGGGCAGATGGGTAAATTTCAGGAGTGCGTAGCTCATGCGCAGGTTTCTGGGGACTGTGGCCCAGGCGCTGTAGGGCAGCAGCCGTTTAACTGCTCACAATTAGACAAGGTCACTATGATTCACGAAATGACACCCCTTTTTGTCAAGTTCATCGTCGAGCGTTCTAAGATCTCGCGCACGTTCATTTGTAGGAATCTGAAGACACAAGGGCTGGGATCAGCCCTTTGTAAGAATGTCTGCACTGAACGACAGCCCCAAACCCCCACCAGCAAAGGATCTTCAGGGCACGCCATCTTTGTGATCATCACAACAGGGGGGTCGTATTTGCCCGCGATGGGGGGGGGGTCGTAAACGCATGGCCCATGTTGAAGTGGAGAGAGCGCGGTACAAGTGAAAAGAAGCTCAAAAGGGACGATGTAGATGACAATAAATAGAACTAGGCACTATCGAACTATTCCTAGGCCAAAAACTAAAAAAAATATTGCTGAAACTTTTTCCTCCTTCCTCACAAAAAACTTCAAGACACTTCGCCCACCAACCCTCCTCATCTGGTCTAGGTAAATCCCCACTAATCCGCAAAATCTAGAAAAGAATCCATTGCAAAAGCTACCTATGAAACCGTAGAAATTGAGGTGCTAACGTATTTGGGGGGACCACGCGGCGAGCGGCGAGTGATGACTCATCAGCTCTTCACTCATAGGCATACTTGAAGCGCGAATCTAGCAGCCAAATTAGAATGAAACAAACAAGATTTACCGGGAACTTGCTGGGAAATCCGACCAGAAGCTGAAAACAACAAATATTTGATCTTTTATAGTCAAGAATCAACAAAAAGGCAACAATCGTTTGTATTTAGGCAAAATCTTCCAGCCTACAACTGTTTCTTCGCACTTTTCAGCCTTAACTGTTTTAGCTTTTGAATATAGCTAGGACGGTGTTATATCCATGTCCTAAACATGAAATTACTTCTTTTTGCCGAGGAGGGAGCAGAAGAGCGGATGAGTCATCGCTCGCCGCTCGCCGCGTGGTCCCCCCAAATACGTTAGCACACCGAAATTGAATCCTGAGCAATTTCCTCACAACAAAATCAAACTCAACAAAAACAATCAAAATAATTCACAATCAAATGGATAAGAAAAAAACTCACCAGGCCAGCTGGGAACCGGAACTATGGATTACTTTTGAATTTTGGCTGTTCGCGGTCAGCGCGCTCATACAAGCGCATTGGTGCGCGCTATTTTACGGTTTGGAGCCAATTTCAAGCCAAACACGTGAAAAGTACCCCTCATTTGAACACCCATAACTTCGTTGAAAGTGAAGCTATCGGAGAGGGGTAAGTGGGAATGAGTAGAGCTAGGTTGGCTCTTGTCACCTGAATTGAGCGATTTCAAAAACGTTCCGATTCCAGAGATTTTCCCCGTTGTGATCATCGTTGTGATCCGTCTGTGATCATTTTTGCGAACCGCGAGTCGCTACGCTTTGGACGTCCATGGCAAGCTTCATACACGACCTTTCGTAAAAAAAAGAACTGTGCCGGAAGCTTGAAGATTTCTACTTTCCAGCAAGGTTTTAATTTCCTTCCTAGACCTACTATTCGAAAAAATTCCCCGTTGTGATCATTTTGTAATCACCCCCCACGACACCGAAAAATCAACCCCTCCGAGGCCAGGAAACCTCCAGTTGGCTCGAAGACTTTGGTATGCTTCTGAAACACATGTTTTCGCAATGCGCCATGCATGGGGCTTTCACGCAGGTGTTTGGAAAGGTGTAACTTCTAGATAGGGCTTCCCAATTGCAAGCAAATGTGCTCCTACGATCAGAAAAGTCCGGGAATGTACTTTCATCTGTTTATTAATCGTCACGTCGTGAGTCCTTTTGTTTTATAAATTCATGGTGCCCTTGTGGGCGGTGATCGTAGCTCCTATCATCGCCCCTTCCTCGTACGTATTGTCAGTATGCTACACCAGCGCCAGAGTGCTGGACGTGCTTGGGACGTACGTAGGTACTGCGCAAGTACGTACCAGTACTGCGACCCCCCCCGCTCGACAGCAAAATTTTGTAAAAAAAACCAGAAACTTTTTGGGAAAAAATAGACAAAGTGGTAGGAGGTTGGAAAAATCTAGGGAAGAGGTAACATGGGGAGGGGGGTCGTACTTGAAGATGGAATTAGGGGGGTCGTATTTTTCAGGAAATGATCACAACGCAATGGCGTGCCCTGCCCCCACCAGCAAGGATCTTCATTCTGTATTATCACCGTTTCGTACCAGGACAGGATAAGACACTCACGACTATAAACCAGAAGGTGAGTGGGTATCAAGGGACAAGAGGAAACAGTTTCTAGCGGTTATTACTCCGAGGTTTCCTTTGAGTTCCGTGGAATACATTGATCTTTCCAAGGCATTCTTTGAGAACCTTTGAAATGTACGTTGACAAGGTCACTTTGACTGACGTCAAAACCTCGTCAGCACATTCTTGTCTAAAAAAAATCTAAAAAGTAGTACGCCTGTATGCTAGTGTACTCCTACTTCTTGGGAAAAGGGCAGGTGGCATACAATAAAGGAAGTCATTAGCGTCGCAAACTATTACACATTTTGAGAAAATCGAAATCCAACTGTAACAAATTAGACGACGCTTGCTGTACCATTTCGTAGTACGTGCACATCTATCTGTTGTCGAGAAGCCTATAGAGTATTTATCACGCCTACTTCAAGCCTCCTCTAATACAACAAATGCCATTGCACGAGAAAGCTTTTCCGAGAGGTGGAACGCGGGAGATCCCGCGTACTAGCACGAATCTCGTCTAGTTCCACTGAGAGATTAGTACTACTGGCTCGTAGCACTCTCACGTCAAACAGTTAAAGACAGCTCCCGCGATAAAAGTCTCATGGATAGCTGCTTTCCAATTATGAAACAGCAGCTGATAAGTAATCTCCCAAAGAAGAAAACAGGCAAGAAGCGTTCTCCAGAACAACATAAACAAAATCGCTCCCTCACAGTTACACCTCCCTGCGGTCTCTGTGCAGCCCCTAGCTCACAAATCTCTCTATCACATCTCGCAGTAGTTGATATCATCTAGTGCAAAAAAAGAATACAAAAAGAAAACAACAAAAAAACGCAGAGGAAATCCCGCGCACAGGAAAAAGGAATTTTATCAACACGGTGTCTGAATTTGTGATTACGGTAGCGCACCTTTTGTGCGTCGTGGTTTTGCATCACGAAAATTGCGTCACTCGTGTTTTTTACGCGTTTCACCTCGCGAAATGGATTGAATTGAATGTATATACCTCCAATGAGTAAACTGTAATGAAGGAGAGCAGAATTATCCAGGGGCATTAGCAATGCCCGCCGCCCCAACTAAGAACAAGTGAGTGGCCTCCGTCGGAGGACATCTAGCAAGTAAAGGCGGTCCGACTGAGGAGGAGTTAGAACTAGCACTTTGAGCGGCTATAGCAGCCTCCACGCTCACAATAGAGTCGCGAAAGGTGAACAGTCTTCTAGCTTGGAGGCTAGACTACTTGCACAGCAAAGGCGACCACGAGCCACTTTGATCGCGGGGGCTGTCTTTAAACACGTTGACGACATGCGCGTTTTTACTTTTTGGCCGCGTGGGACACGCGCGTTTTCTCGAACGCAACCAGCGCGGTACACACATAGTTCAGACGATCCCACGAGGCGCTTTTTTGGAAATTGGATCGGAAAACTGGATTAGAGCGCAGTTATGAAGTAAGTTAATACTTCAGTATAGAAAAAACCTGGCTGGCTAACTCTCGTTGCACTAGATGCCAGAAATTCGTCCGCAACCAATGTTTTCATAAAAAAAAGGTGTCGTGCCCTCTATAGCGTTCAGAATCCTTCACCCTATAATTTTGACCATTATCAACATTGTATCGATCAGCATTTCTCAGCTAAGTGTTGGAGAGCAAACCATTCCAGTGTTGAAGAGCAAATCAGTCCGAGCAAATGGTGATCTTTACCCAAAAAGTATTTGCTAAACTAGTGTGTACTGAATTATTCCATGGACTACGCATAGTACGAGTACACCAGGGTCTGAACTATACAATGATTAAGAGAAACTAACTAAAAAACCATGCACTGTTGAAAGATATGGATTTGTTGATCGTGAGTTGTATAGTATGCACGCTGTCCCACATGGCCTACAACGCGTGCATTCAATGTGTCTCACGCTGTCGTCAATGTGTTAAGGCCAGCGTGAGTACATGCGATGTAACGGCGCTTGATAATAGCGTATTCCCGCAAAGCGGCAACGTCGCAATAGCGGAACTCCTCACTGATCAGGACTTCTTGATGCTGAGGAAAATTTTTGCGAAGTACGACCCCTTAAATTTTCTCTGGCACGCTTTTTCCGTCGCACTGACTTAACTTCTGCCATAATGAACCTCCCAAATCGACCAGTTACGACTCCCCGCAGGGGATTCCCCTTCCCGTATCTCGTCGTATATACCTGTTGCCAGTATTTCTTTTCAAACAATAACTGGTAAGGTACATACGAGAAGGGTGACGTACCAGCTCCAGCTAGGAAAGACAGCGGTGGTGGACTCGGGTCTGGGCTCGATGTCGAACTTGTCTCCGTTTGAGTGTAGGTGGTACACGATTGCCCTGCGGCCGCTTGGCGACGTTGGCTTTCAGCTTGCGTCTGCTTGCACATCGGTTTGTGCCGCTTCCAATCGAATTGCTGCAAACGTATAAAATAGACAAAAATGCAAACAAAGAAAGAACTGCGAAGATCAGAAGATAGTAAATGAGGAGTATTGAAAAATGGGACTATAAAAGTAGTTGAGGGGGATGCGGCGACGTAACTTGGCATGCAAAAGTGGGGGAGGAAATGTTCCAAGCGTTTTATTGGTTGTTTGTTTTTTAGAGGTGGTTGTACGACAAACAGTCGTACACCAATCTTACGCGCTTTGTATGCTCTATAAGCTTGAAGCACAGTTTTTACCCATACAGCGCTCAGCTTGTGCTCGTGTGTACCTTCCTGAGATGATTCATTGCTCCCAAGGCTGCGCCTTAACGAATGGAATCACCTCAATGCAGGGAGCTCGAAAGAGGCGGTCGTATCTTGCCGTGTTCCCATAGGTACCCTACCACCCCGGGCACGGAACCGCTTAGAGTAGGCCTTATGTAGGTCTTATCGCGGGATCCTGTGGCGCGGGCACCAGGCGGTTCCGGGCACAGCGGATGTGATGTTAGTGCTCAGGAGATTAAAGTAACCCTTGGGACAAATTTTTAGCCAGACATGCCCTTGAAAAAAGTCGTAAAAACTGACCTGATTCCGGAAGACTGGCTTCAGTAAAGGGCAGGGAGTTAGTGCTGAAACTCCCCGCGCGCGGTTTCGCATGCATCTCTGCGACCTTAGAAACAAGTGCGCCTTAAAGCCAGAAAGGCCGGGGTGGTGTAGTGACAACTGGCGCGCTTACCATCCCTGTGGTTCAAATCCTGGGTCGATCCCGCCCAGGCCAACCAAGCCTTCTACCCCGGGAACGTAAATTGGTGCCAGATTCGGCTGAGCCCCGCAACTCATTGTGCAGGCCACACTGCATTCAATAAGCCGCTATGATTCCGAATGGAAGAGCGTGCCGCGTTTCACAAATTGATCAACGGCGAATACTTTATCCTTCACCTTTAAATCCGAGAAAACAGGGTATGTCATGCGCGAAAGTAGATTACACAACTATTCCGAGGTTTGAAAATGTCGTTGCCAAGACATGAAAAGACAGCCCATATCAATGGGCAGACAGGAGCGTCACGACGACGGTTGCAAATTCTCGCGCCGACTCTCTTCTTTGTTATACATGTGCCTCTGCCTCTTTTCTGTCTGGACACCATATCCGTCGCCAGGGTACTTGGAAATGCCCTTTTTGACCTTAGATATGAAATACAGTCGCGCCTATGAGTGCAATTACGATTTATGGATGCATCAAATATTGCTCTGAAAAGCTTAGTTAGGCCTGCTCGTGAAGAACTAAAAATTATTGGAAAAACGCTCACTTGGACTATTTCTTGTCGCTTCACGAGACCTAGAACGGATAGCGGGAACTAACCAAAGGAATTACCGAGCTAACAGTGTGCCCCCCCCAATTCGAGCAGCGTCAAAAAATATTCAGAAATCCTGCATCCTTCCCTCGATGACAGAGGGATACACGATCAGTGTACTTGAATAAGTGCGTTAGCTAAAACTTCAGATTTTGACGTCAGACGCTGACGTCTAAACTTGATAATTTATCACACAATGTTTTTTTCAACAGACTGTTATTATTACACCTTTAGTGCAAGGACCTAATTAGAAATCTAGCACATAAGGAACATGTTTCGCTTCGTCTGCACTTCCGCAAGCAACTGATTTTTCAACCTGAAGTGAAAAGAGCACCGAAGCGTGATTGCAGCCCATTGGGCTGCATTTGCATTAATTTGCGTTAATAACAAAAGATCAGCAAAAAGGACACGGCTTCTGATTCATTTGTGACATTTTGTTCCCGATTTCTTTCGTTTAATCAATTTAGACTTTAACTTCCAACATCCTTCTGAGCAGAGGCTTTTATCTTACTTATCCACCTCATTCTTCACCGTATTCGTTGGTTGCCAACCCCATCCGAAGAGCCTCAACGACCAAGGAACAAAGTGATGTGTCTGAGCCAGGCGAAACACGTCTTAAAGCCACGCTTCGCATTCATTTGATGTTCAGATTTGATCCACTGCAAAAGAGTCAGAGTGAGGCGAAAAGGGAAAGAAGCTAATGACATAACACCATCAAGTGAGAACTCGTCCGACCACGCCCATTCTTTTGCGGAATCAAACGCGGTCGGTGCTTTTTTCCCTCATTTTTGTGTTATTCCCGGCTTGTCATTTAATTTTGAGCCGCACACCTGACCATTTTTGAGCTCGAACTTTTTCCTGCCTTTACCTTTACTAGCTCCCTTCACCCACATGACAATATCTTTTCAATTCAATCAATCTCCATTAGGAGTGCGCACTTCATCTCAATAGCGACCGTTTCGTGATCTGTCCTAGGCAACCGCTTGTGGAGCCCTTCCAACATATCCAACATCCCAACAGGCCAACTTTTTTTCCTTTGCAAATCGATTTTGGTACCCAACATCATAGCTTCAGTCGCCTAGGCGGCATTCAGATCAGGATTCGGCCACAGAACTGGGCGACAAATGAGGCTCCACATGTGACACCACCTCAGATAGTGCCACTGAATGATAGTGACGAGCTCAACAAGGAGGACATATTTGATTATAATTTGAATTCTGAGAACAACCGAAAAAAGTGCTGAATTATGGGTAATAGGCTCAAACCCTGGCAGGACTAGATCACGCACTCCATGATTACCGTGCTAATGTGCTAAGCATTACAGCACCAAGCGTGAACAAAGATT